TTCCACTCGGAACCACCCAGCCTTTGGAAACCTCACACTCACTCCCATGACGGGTTTTAGGGCCACTGTGGCTGCCGTGATCTTTTCATTAAGAGCACAGTGTCATTAGAGGACGGGCACCATCTTCACAGACCTGCAGGCGGCCACCGGCTGCTGCATTAAAGCAAAGCCCAGCTGCCTCCAGGCATTGCTGCCCGTGGCCCTGGGGGCAGTGGCAACCCTCCCACGCCCCCCAATTTGGGCCAGGTAAAGCTGTTGGCCTCTGCCAGGAGCGGGAAGGGGCCAGCGTGGCCCTGCTGCTAACGAACCCCATCACTGCCCGCCAGGAGTGCAGAGGGGCACTGGCCCCAGCCTCACCTTGCCCACGAGCAAAAGCAAATTATCAATGCCCGCAGCTCTGTCTGCTCAGCGCCCAGCCTGCAATATCGACTATTGAAGGTGCAGCCATGAACAGAGCTCCTTTGGCTGTCTCACTCCCCCCAGGGAGGGGGTGTTTCTCAGCTGGTTTCCTGCTAGATGCCATTTCCCACCCTCTTAAACTGAGATCGACTTCAAGGCCTGTGCAGATGCTGGCAGACCACGTTCAATCCCATTTCAGCAATGAAAAGTCTGAGGGAAGAAAAAACCATCACCATAGGTACCTGGAAAACTGAGCCTTATTAAGCCTGCACCCCCACTTTTGAAGTATGCAAAAGATTATCATGGAATCCTGGGTTGGAAGGGACCTCAAGGATCATCTGGTCCAACCTTTCTAGGCAGATTAATACTGGAATTGCTGAAAAAATGCTTAAGTTTTATGCTTAGTGTAAGAGAAGGGCAAGGCTGGCCAAGTTCTCTTGGAGAGCATAGGATCTCTGGCACAAAGCATCTGCTCTGCATTTTCCAAGGGAAAACAGGGCAGGAACCCATGTCCATTTACCACTCCAGAAGGAAGAGAGCCCCTTTCCCCTCCTGGGGGGGTCTCTGGGGCTCTCACCTCTGGTTCCGACACACGGATGCCAGGAGGGAGACCAGGGATGCTGGCTGGGTGTCAGGAGACCTGGACACAGGCACAGCCATGGTCAGGTACCCCGGCATGTCCCAGCTCGGGGCATTCCCATTACCTCCCTGGGACCACTTGGAGCTCTGCAGGGGTGGTCACAGACCTGTGAGCATTGGGTCACCCCCACAGCCGCAGCAGGACCAGTGCCGTGTCAGACCCACAGGAGCCCTCCCCAGAGCTCCAGGAGACTAAAAAAGAGCCTAAAAAGGCAAACGCCGGCGCCGCGGGCAGCCTGCTGCAGCCGCACACCCGTGATGCCGCCAGCCTGGCATAGCAGCCCACGCGCTTTGCATTCTTCCACCACCTTAGATGTAATCAAACCTCAAGGGATGTCAAAACCTGCAACCAAACTATTTGTACAAACACAGGGTTTGCACGTAGAGAACATCTTAAAGCAATTTCTAATAAAACCTGCGAGAAGCTGGATACGTACTGAGCCGTCCCTGCATCTGCGCAGTGGCAAAGAGGCAGAAGTGCACACCTTGACCATGGTCTGTACAGAACTTGTATTAGCAGATAAACCTTACTTAGCTTGTTATGGAATAAAACCTTCCTGCCTACCTTTTCCAAGATAAGCTCGTAACGTGGGGAGGAGGGAGAGAAATGAGGTGGAAACACAGCTGTGACCCAAGAAATCAACTAAACCTGTATGCCTCATTAGTGCTTTGAAGGGTGGAACAGTTCTCCTACCGGAGATGTGGTGTTCAGCGCATCAGTCCAGACCACTCAGTGAGGGTGTCCCAGCATTTAAACACACACCACCAGATCTCACAGATCCACATTCAGAGCAGCCCTGGAAAGCCCAGGGTGAGAAGCTGGAGATATTGAAACATTTGCCACTCCAGGCTCAGACCAGTCTCGCTATTCTGGCAACAACTGCGCTGGGGAGATGGAGCCCAGGACCATGAATGGGGACTTGCACGGGGCAGGGGGTGCCAGCGGACCCTGGTCCTGGGCTTCATGGAAACACGTCTTTAACCTTGGAAGTCCGGAAGGGACAGGAATACCCCAAAAGGCAAGTTAAGATTCCCATGCTAAAACCAGTCCTTTTTTCTGCTGGCATGCAGCAATTCACAATTTTGAGGAAAGACTGCTGCAGAAGAGATGCCTCTCCAGCAGCAAACGGCTTCACAGGACGCTCCGAGATGTGCCGAAGGCCCAGGATGCACAAGATTCCCTGTACTCCCCAGCCTCTGCGCAAAGCCCAACGCAAGGGCAGGAGAGGCCGGAGCACCCTTGCTGGGATGCACTGGGACCACAGCCATGTTCTCCCATTACAAGAAAAAAGAAAACCAGAAAAACTGCCACAAAACCCCCTCCCCAAACCACCAAGATGCTGCGGAATTAAAGCTCAGAAGGTGGAAGATCCACTATAAACTCAGCTAAGCCACATTTCTATCCCATCACTACGGTCCTCAGCTGTCATGATGAAACAGCTCCACTTTACCATGCCAGATCTCAGCAGAATTTAGAGAGGAAGAAGGGCTGGTGGAAGCATGCGGCTGTATTACAGGCACTACTGGTATGGAAAAATCCCCACACAATAATCAAGCTTTAAAAAAGAAAGTGTAAACCTACATAGCTGGCTTGCAAATCCAAATGCCTGGGTTTTTAACTCTGAAGAACAAGGGCCAGCAAGCAATCAAGGACAGCCACCAAAGCAATTTTTTCTTGCCAGCCAGCCAAACCAGACAAACATGCGACAAAACAGGGCAGGAGGGACTTACCAGATTGGGCAGAATGTTGCACAAACAGGACCAGTCCCAGGTGCTCCAGACAGGCAGCCGCTCCATGGATTTCCCAGGAAAAGAGCAAGAGCTTCCCCGTACCACTGCCCCCTCGGCACTGCCCTGCCCACAGCACAGGTACCTCCTGCCCTGCCTTTGGGGTCCCTTACCCACAGCACCCATGCCCTATCCACCCAGCTCGCTCGCTCACTCACTCGCTCGCTCACTCACTCACTCGCTCACTCACCCACTCCCCTTTGGCCATCACCTCCTACCTGCTCACTCCCAATTTAAAGCCTTCCCAACGGATTGGCCAGCCCCTTGACGAGTTCCCTTTGCTCTCCGTGGCCAGCTGGGCCCCATCTCTCCCACCCGAGAGGACTCTGGGGGTAAAAGCCCAATCACTCTCATTGGCACCAGTTGCACCAGCGGGCTCTGACCTGCAACCCCCTCCACCCCTCCTCAAGCCCTTTCCCTCGCTGGCAGGATCAAGGGGAAAAAACACCTGGCCCCTTGACCACCCCCTTGGCCCCCGGGGCCACAAAGTCCTGCTTGAGCTTTCCAGGTCTCCCCTAGCAGCGTTGGGGTGCATCTCCTGCACGGTCGCCCCGCCCCACACCAGGCAAAAGGGAGAAGCTCAAAAACATCAGCCCCAGGAGGATAATGGTGACGGAGATGGTGACGAGCTGAGGATCTGGCCCCTGAGCACGGGGTGCGCAGGGAAGGGCGTGTTTCCAGCTGCAGGCGGGGCTGGGCCAGGCCAGATGTGCCCAGAGCGGTGGTAACTGCCCCATCTCAACAGCAGCTTTGTTTAAGGCCTGACTCATAGCTCTGGTGGTTATTGTGGCACACTTCCACTTGGTTTTAAAAAAACCACTCTTTGTGGTGGGCAAGGTGCCCAGCCGCAGGACTGAGCCGGGGCAGCGATCCCTGCCCTCCCCACGGCAGGGGGCAGGCTGCCCGACGTCCCCGGGACCGGGGAACCAGCCCACGCAAGGGGACAGGAAGGCTCCTTGCCCCCGAGAACTTACTGATGAGGAAGCCTCGGCTCAGTGTTTTTCCCCATGAAATACAAAACCCATTGAGAACACCCCATGCACACTGCTTCTGCTCTACTTCCCAGTAGATGATTTATCACAAAATAGGCTGCCGGAACATTTGAATTTTTAAACACAGACTAACTAATGTGGTACTGATTTCTACGGTCTTCTAGGGGCTGGTCTCAGTATGTTTAACTTTTATTTACTGTCCCTCCAGAACAGTTTTCTGGGATAAAAGCTTACTTGGATAAGAAGCTGAACAGGCTGCAGTCAAGAGGATTTACTGTCTTCAACTATCCTCATGATCAATACCTATTTTATAGAATTACTGGAAAATATCAATCACGAATGGTTAGACAGCTCTCATTAAAGGAAGCAGATCTGCTGCCTTGGCATATTAATACCCATAAGCAGTACTGAGAGAAGGGGTTAGGGAATCTTAGTAGATGCTGCGTAGTAATTGTCTAGATTGCTTGTAGCCCAAAGAATCAAATTGATAGATAGTGCTCAAATGTTTTGCTAATTACTGTGCGAACTAACTGAAGCAAGAAGATTTGTGGCTCCTTACAAAGGACAGTTCCTGATAAGAACCAGGAATTTGCCTTAAGAACCAGCTCGAACCAACCTTGCAGTTTGGGCAACAGCCAAGGAGCAACTGAGTCTGCGCAAGAACAAGGGGTTAGTGGTGGTGAGGAAGAGGAGCCATCAGCCTTCATCCCCACGACAACCACCACAAGGAGGCACTGAGCAAGCGCAGGCCAGACGAACTTATGGAAATGACCTCTTGAAACTAATTTTATTACAAAGCGGGGACAGGTTATGCATATGTATTGGGAAACTTCATATATATGTAACACTTGGCTACATATAAACAGGACAAGCTGCCAAGAGGACATGGGCACGACTTTGGTGGGACTGCCCCCCGTGCTGCCCAGCGCTGAATAAACATACCTACTTTACAATCTTACAGATTGTGGAGTTTCCACACATCAGTTCTGTGATAGTTTGGAGGAGCCTTAGAACCGTGGGTCTTGTGCTAAGAACAAAGCTGCCGTCCAGTTCTTCCAGTTCTCAGCTCACTGGTAAGAGCTGCACTGGGCCCACGGCCTTGCAGTTGTCAGAAATGAACAGACTGTTCATGGGAATCAACTCCAACGTGGTGCTTTTTTTCCAAACAATGTCTCAAGTCAGTAATAGTAAAACTCTCCAAATCCATTTATTTGTCAGCAATGAAAAGACTGTACAATACCCAAGAAAGGGGGCGGGGAAAGGCAATGCATTAAGACTGGCTTTCATCAATGTCTTTGTCCGGATCCATCTCTGCAGCTTCGCTCTCCTGTTGCTGCTTCTTCCAGAGTTTAGCCATAGCAAGCAGTTTGAGATTAGGCTGATTGGCAGTATCTTCTGGGAAAATGTAGTCATAGTATTCCTCCCAGCCAGCATCAGACTAGGGAAAAAAATAGCACAAAGCAAGTTTAATTTGCATCTTAATGTCAGCTATTAGAAGGTGCTTCTAATAAGCGTAACAGTGAGATAAAATTAAAATCAGTGTTTGTTAGACCATCCACAGCAGCTGAAAGCCATGAGCTGAATGGGCGTAAGACAGTTCTGCTGTGCAGAATGAGCAGGCAGATTTGATGGACAGCCTGGCTACGGTTTCCCAAACAAACACGATGCGCACAGCACTACCTAAGGCTGTTTCGATTTGCTTATGGCAGGAGTTTAAAGCAAAGGTAGCTTGAGCGTTTGGTGTGAGTATTTCACTCTGAACCAACTTGCCCACCTAGCCTGCTGAAGAACAAGCGGCTCAGCAGCACACGTTTCAGGCCAATGCTTTTTTCAATTACTGCAGTAAAATTGGTATGCAGCTATAGCCCCCACCATAGCAGCCTGTGGTTTGTGCACCAGACCCCAGCACAAAGCTGCCAAGGATTCAGTGTGACCACTTCCATCATTTTTCCTCTTACCCCATCCTCAGCCTGCAGTTTCCTCCGCTTCTTTATTTTCTCAGGCATAAGTTTATCTATCCTCTCTTTAGTGGTATCTGTTCCAAACTCCTCTTCAAAGCTCCTCCAGGATTCCAGAAGCATGACTCTCTCCTCTTTCTCCTCGCAGTTTCGCATTGCCTTATTAGCCTCTTCATAAATCTGCCGGCATCTTGACAAATTCTGCTCCCTCCCTGCAGAGAGCTCAAACTGCGCAAAGCTGATCCATACCTGTGGTGAGAGCAAATCACAACCAAGCTCCAACCTCCATTCTGAAGTCTGATGGCTAAGTGACAGTTTAAAAAACCAGAGCAGCCAAACAAGCAGATGTCAATGCCAGTCCAAAGCACTTTTTCCTAAGCAGATGCCTAGAAAATTCATGTTTGTTTCACACGCGTGAGATTTGCCTCATTTTCATTCACATAAGCCACACTGGCAAATTTCTTGCAGTTGTTTCGGGTCGTGATAAATCTGTCTGAATTGGGTCGTGATAAATCTGTCTGAATTGGGTCGTGATAAATCTGTCTGAATTGGGTCGTGATAAATCTGTCTGAATTTAGTCAAACGGCAGCACCAAACTACACCAGAAAAAATCACAACTCCCTTTTGCTTGCCATGTTTTTGCTGCTAAAATTCCAAAGCTACTTGTCAGGAAGAGGCTGCTTTGAAACCTTCTGCAAAGCTGCCTTTCACATAAGAAATGCCCATTGCTGTGTGTAATTGAGAAATGCCTTTCCCCTTTTCGTGGCACAGGCATGGTACTGAACTTAGGTTCACCGCTGATTTGAAAAAGCCGTGCACTCAAAGCAGGCCAGGGTTTCCATCCACCATGGACTTGACTCAAGGCCAATTCTGTTCTGGGTAGCCATACACACCTTAACATGCTGCGTCCGCTGAAGTAATCTGCGGTAAAGGTTTCTTGTTTTCTCATACTCTTCTTGCTCAATTTCAAAGTCGATGTAGGATTTCCAAAGAACCTGCAAAAGAAGTCTCTCACTATGGTAATAGCGCACTGAGAGAATGGAAAAAAGAAAAAAAAAGAGTAGGAGCACTGACAAATGTGAAATTTCCCTGGAAGAAAGTCTCAGAGATCTGAGCATTAATTGACCGCACAAGCTAGGATTACGACTAAGCAGCATCAAATCTTGTGCACGTAATCCCTTTAGCTTGCTCCTGCAAGCATGCTTCCCCCTCCATGTTTTATCGTGGGTTTTATAGTCCTGTGTACCCTGCTAAGGAACAGATGCTAAATTGATGAGACACAGGCTAAGCCGCTGCGGTAAGCGGTTCTGTTCAAGCTGGTAGGTTATTTACATTTTAATTAGCCACGCTGTGTAATAAGCTACATATAAACAGGACAAGCTGCCAAGAGGACATGGGCACGACTTTGGTGGGACTGCCCCCCGTGCTGCCCAGCGCTGAATAAACATACCTACTTTACAATCTTACAGATTGTGGAGTTTCCACACATCAGTTCTGTGATAGTTTGGAGGAGCCTTAGAACCGTGGGTCTTGTGCTAAGAACAAAGCTGCCGTCCAGTTCTTCCAGTTCTCAGCTCACTGGTAAGAGCTGCACTGGGCCCACGGCCTTGCAGTTGTCAGAAATGAACAGACTGTTCATGGGAATCAACTCCAACGTGGTGCTTTTTTTCCAAACAATGTCTCAAGTCAGTAATAGTAAAACTCTCCAAATCCATTTATTTGTCAGCAATGAAAAGACTGTACAATACCCAAGAAAGGGGGCGGGGAAAGGCAATGCATTAAGACTGGCTTTCATCAATGTCTTTGTCCGGATCCATCTCTGCAGCTTCGCTCTCCTGTTGCTGCTTCTTCCAGAGTTTAGCCATAGCAAGCAGTTTGAGATTAGGCTGATTGGCAGTATCTTCTGGGAAAATGTAGTCATAGTATTCCTCCCAGCCAGCATCAGACTAGGGAAAAAAATAGCACAAAGCAAGTTTAATTTGCATCTTAATGTCAGCTATTAGAAGGTGCTTCTAATAAGCGTAACAGTGAGATAAAATTAAAATCAGTGTTTGTTAGACCATCCACAGCAGCTGAAAGCCATGAGCTGAATGGGCGTAAGACAGTTCTGCTGTGCAGAATGAGCAAGCAGATTTGATGGACAGCCTGGCTACGGTTTCCCAAACAAACACGATGCGCACAGCACTACCTAAGGCTGTTTCGATTTGCTTATGGCAGGAGTTTAAAGCAAAGGTAGCTTGAGCGTTTGGTGTGAGTATTTCACTCTGAACCAACTTGCCCACCTAGCCTGCTGAAGAACAAGCGGCTCAGCAGCACACGTTTCAGGCCAATGCTTTTTTCAATTACTGCAGTAAAATTGGTATGCAGCTATAGCCCCCACCATAGCAGCCTGTGGTTTGTGCACCAGACCCCAGCACAAAGCTGCCAAGGATTCAGTGTGACCACTTCCATCATTTTTCCTCTTACCCCATCCTCAGCCTGCAGTTTCCTCCGCTTCTTTATTTTCTCAGGCATAAGTTTATCTATCCTCTCTTTAGTGGTATCTGTTCCAAACTCCTCTTCAAAGCTCCTCCAGGATTCCAGAAGCATGACTCTCTCCTCTTTCTCCTCGCAGTTTCGCATTGCCTTATTAGCCTCTTCATAAATCTGCCGGCATCTTGACAAATTCTGCTCCCTCCCTGCAGAGAGCTCAAACTGCGCAAAGCTGATCCATACCTGTGGTGAGAGCAAATCACAACCAAGCTCCAACCTCCATTCTGAAGTCTGATGGCTAAGTGACAGTTTAAAAAACCAGAGCAGCCAAACAAGCAGATGTCAATGCCAGTCCAAAGCACTTTTTCCTAAGCAGATGCCTAGAAAATTCATGTTTGTTTCACACGCGTGAGATTTGCCTCATTTTCATTCACATAAGCCACACTGGCAAATTTCTTGCAGTTGTTTCGGGTCGTGATAAATCTGTCTGAATTGGGTCGTGATAAATCTGTCTGAATTTAGTCAAACGGCAGCACCAAACTACACCAGAAAAAATCACAACTCCCTTTTGCTTGCCATGTTTTTGCTGCTAAAATTCCAAAGCTACTTGTCAGGAAGAGGCTGCTTTGAAACCTTCTGCAAAGCTGCCTTTCACATAAGAAATGCCCATTGCTGTGTGTAATTGAGAAATGCCTTTCCCCTTTTCGTGGCACAGGCATGGTACTGAACTTAGGTTCACCGCTGATTTGAAAAAGCCGTGCACTCAAAGCAGGCCAGGGTTTCCATCCACCATGGACTTGACTCAAGGCCAATTCTGTTCTGGGTAGCCATACACACCTTAACATGCTGCGTCCGCTGAAGTAATCTGCGGTAAAGGTTTCTTGTTTTCTCATACTCTTCTTGCTCAATTTCAAAGTCGATGTAGGATTTCCAAAGAACCTGCAAAAGAAGTCTCTCACTATGGTAATAGCGCACTGAGAGAATGGAAAAAAGAAAAAAAAAGAGTAGGAGCACTGACAAATGTGAAATTTCCCTGGAAGAAAGTCTCAGAGATCTGAGCATTAATTGACCGCACAAGCTAGGATTACGACTAAGCAGCATCAAATCTTGTGCACGTAATCCCTTTAGCTTGCTCCTGCAAGCATGCTTCCCCCTCCATGTTTTATCGTGGGTTTTATAGTCCTGTGTACCCTGCTAAGGAACAGATGCTAAATTGATGAGACACAGGCTAAGCCGCTGCGGTAAGCGGTTCTGTTCAAGCTGGTAGGTTATTTACATTTTAATTAGCCACGCTGTGTAATAAATACCTTAAAATTGTGCCAACTGTAAAGTTCATCTGCTGCCTTACCTCTGGCATGTCTAGCCGGGGCTGGCCGATAGCCAACTCATATATTGCACGGGCTCGATCGATATCCCCAAGAATAGTCTCTAGTTCAGCAAATTTAATCCATGATGTGCAGTTTTCCGGTGCAAACTCCAGGAATTTTTCATACAGCTTTCGGCAACGATCAAATTCTCGCAGTTGTAACTCCAACTCAATATAACCTTTGAACAGTTTGTTTTTTGGACATTTACCTATGGATGTCCCCTGTTAAGCAAAAAAAACCAAAACAAACTTCAAGATCTTGCAAGGGAAAAACCCAGTCTATTTTCTAAGCACCTGTTTACTCTCCAGTATTTGAACTAAAATTAATTTTTGAGCAGAGCTTATTTTTTAAGACTCTGGCTGGTGCCAGCATGAAATCCGAGCACTGTTTGCAAAATGAGCGTTCGTCCATAAACACCACCAAAACCTCTGAAAGCAGAAAACCTTTTAACTTGTTATGCTTCTACATACCACGGATCCCCCATGAGGTACGAGTTGGAACTCACCCTGGCTCATCAAATGAATGCTTCATCTTGCATCAAAAGCTGAAGCAAGCACAGCACCAGCCTTCCAGGTAAGCAGTTCCCAAGTATCTTACAAAACAAATTACATCAAGAGAAGCTTCTCCTGGACCACCACTGCTATTCACCATGGCATGGAGAATTGTCCACGCTCCCTGCCTGCTGGCTTACGATAATGGATAGGTGGAGAATCATGTTTAAAAAAAAGATTTCCTTTTTGATATGCTTCGGCATCTGAAGAAAACGGTCTGTCCAAAACCACGGTGCCAAGCTGTAAGAAAGCAGTTTCTGATTCTTAATTTGGGAACCTTCTAAAGCGAGAGCTAAGAATGGGCATTATCTGAGACAGATACGCAGTGAGCGTCACCCTTTGAGTCACTTCCGTAGACAGGTATTATTTATTAAGCACTACAGCCTCTGTTCCCTCAAGCTGATGTGAATTCAGTAATTTGAGATCAAATTCCCCTACTACAATTCTGCACAACTTTCCTACACATTGATTATCTTGGTACTTATTAAAGATGGAGGAAACCACCACTTGGGAATATCAGTTTGCTCAACTCCAACTCTATAAATGTCTTTTCTATTTCCAGAAATGCTCAGTTCTTCCCCACACGCCCCCCCATTACTATTTTCTTAAGAAGCAGAGGCTCCAGCCAATCTCCTGTCTCCCAGTCCCAGCATCTCTCAGACCCTGGGAAAACAAAGAATCCACACACCATCTACAGCCAGTGAAAATAATGCAGAGCTGTCTGCACGCTGGTGAGAGCTTCAGCATCAGGAGCTGGACCTTCTCTTCTGCATGGTGACAGTGCAGGACCCTAACCTCAGGACAGGAGCAAGGTTTCTTGCCAAAGAGGTGGCTGAAAGTCAACTCATTGCAAAAGAAAGAAACTGCTTGCCAAATCTGGGTCCTGTCCAAAAAAGTATTATGGCTGCAGCAGCAAAATCTGGTTTCCGAAATAAGAAAAAGGTGACCTACTAAAAAGAAGTCTGTCAAAGAAATGAAACAACAGGGGAAAAGACCAACAAAAGAGAAGCCTAAAAGAAACCAAGGAAACTTTATATTTCTAGATGGGCCAAAGCATCCTTTCCAGAATCTACCACAGTATTTACCCCCCCAAAATAAAGGCAGCCAGAAGCAGGGTGCTGACTGGTGACTGTGGTGATGTTGAGCGATGGTATCTTAAGCCAAGCTAGAACAGCAGCATGCTTCAGGACAGACGGTTGTCTCCTCCTACAGGGAGACAGTAACAGTCTCACAGGGGACTTAACCCCCCTCCGCTTTGTTTTTTTCTGGTCACGAGCAGGAGTCCAGCTCAAGAGACAAAGCTTTACTAGACACTGGGGGCAGACTCGGCCCAGTGTCAGCTACAGAAGGCCACTCATGTTTATGCTCCTATCACTACAGTGCCATGGGTTTGGTGGAAACCCCACCAGTTTCCTCTTTAAAGTCAAACCACCTCAACTGTTGCCTACATCAGCTTTCTCCCAAAAATCCTAATGCTATCACTGAGCTCATTCAGAATATCTGAGCTGAAGGGAAAGAAAGTTTTTCATTTCAAAAGGTTTTGCTGCCAAAATGTACTCCATTGTTCTCTAACATGCTGACATTCACACAGTGGATCCACACAGAAGCTCTGGAGCCTGCCCAAAGTCCCTGTGATTGCATCTATCAGCAACCTGGTAGCTGGGACTCAAACACTCTATTCAGCAGGTCTTCATTTCTGAGAGTCAAAAACTCCTATTTATTTAAAAAGCTTTTTAAAACACTATTGTCAGTACAAGTATAATTTAAACAAAGCAGCAGCAGTTAAAAATTTCCAAGTGCACTAAGCTGATTTGGGTACTCTTGCATTCAGACGCATTTTGTCTGCTGAAACGAGAAAGCTGCATTCATTTCTGCCCGTGGCTAATTCATCATATCAAGCTATGCTTCTTTTTAAATCATACATGACAGTAAATACTGGTCCCTGCAGACTTCT